TAAATAGCTTCCATTTGGATTGTCTTAGGAAGAGTCTGAAGATCACCTGGCAGGATGAGATACCAGACGCTGAGGTCCTTTCTAGAGCCCAACTGCCAAGCATTCAAACTCTGCTTCAGAGAGCACAGCTCCTATGGGCTGGCCACGGTGTTTGAATGGAAAATGTATGCTTGCTAAAAAGACTATTTTAGGTAGAACTTATACAGGGCAGGTGTTCACATGGTGATCAGAAGCAGCAACACAAGGACACTCTCAAGGTCTCTCTTAAGAACTTTGCAATTGGAGAATGGAGGGGCAGAGCCAAGATGGCAGAGGGAAAGCAGTGACTTGCTTGAGCTCTCCCCCAAACCCCTCCAAATACCTGTAAAAAATGGCTCTAAACAAATTCTAAAGCAGCAGAACCCACAAAAAGACAGAGTGAAACAAATTTCCAACCCAAGACAACCTGGGTGGTTGATCAGAAAGGTATATCGCACCGGGCAGGGGGGAGGAACGCAGTTTGGCGTGGGCGCGTAGGCCACAGCAAACCTGGAGCAACCCTCACAGGACTGAATCGCAGTTGTGGCGGATTCCAGACTTCTCAACCCATGAACACTAAAGACAACTTAGAAGGTCAGTGGGAAAAGTCTGTGTTTGTAGTGAAAGAGAAGCGTGGGGTCCTAGCCCCATTCCCCAAACTCGACCCCAGGGCAGCAGCTCCCTCCTGAGCTTCCGGCCCACAGACTGAGGGGGAATCGAGTGGCCGATCAGAGGGGGATTGCAGGGATCTCTTTGCTGGTGCAGGGTTCTCTTGCTTTGCCCATGCTTGAATCTGGGTCACAGTTCTAGGTGGGGGCCCTAGGACGACGAGGAGTGCTGGCATGGTGGAGCTTGTAGTTGCTGTGGAGAGGAAATCCTCCTCACAGTTCCAAGGAAAAGAGTTCTTGTGGTCACTTATAGACCAGAGCACAGGCCAGGAAAGGAGTAAACACCTTGATCGTAACACCTTAGAAGAACTGGAAATTTTCAGGTCCCAGAACTATCTCTGAAAACAGCTGCACAAAACCCCCAAAGCTTGGGACAATACATCCTCCACACTGGAAGCAGACTCCTACTTTAACAAAGAGTTTATAACTCAAGTAATTGGCTGGGATCATGAGCAAGCAGCACAAAAAGAATCCGACCATAGAATCTTTCTTTGGTAACAAAGATCAAAACATACAACCAGAAGAAGACAACACAGTCAAAGCTCCTACATCCAAAGTCTGCAGGAAAAATATGAATTGGTCCTAGGCCATGAAAGAGCTCAAAAAGGATTTTGAGAATCAAGTAAGAGAAGTAGAGGAGAACCTGAGAGTGATGCAAGAAAATCATGAAAAACAAGTCAACAGCTTGCTAAGGTGACCCAAAAAGATACTGAAGAAAATAACACCTTAAAAAAGAACTTTGCAATTGATTGTGTGACATGGGACACATTGGCACAGGACCGACAGCATGGCGTGCCCACGTCAGAGAAGCTGCTGTGCTCTATGAGCAAAGCAGAATTGAAACAGCGCAAGAGAAATGCAAGATTTGGGAACTTTGAGAATCCACCCTGAATGTTCACATGGACTGTTTGTGCCCCACCTGTGGTAGAGCGTTCCGAGCTCGTACTGGTCCGATCAGCCCTAGTGGGATACACTGAAACTTGACTCTAGTATGATGTCATTTTGGTCCTCTCTGAAAACAAAGGACAACAACCATTGTAAACAGTAGCCAAGACCCGAGGGGATTCGGGGCAGTGGGCACACCTCAAAAGGTCAAAATGCACCTATTTTCTGTGATGGGGTGGAAGGCCACAGTCTGCCTCGACTTGAAATTCTCCCAGATAATTCTCCTTTGGAGAGGAGGAAGAGCCTGGACGGTTAGCCAGAAGAATATCTAATGAAAGCCGCATGAACTGGAAAGTCCGAGGGGGAATGAACCCATCTTCTGACGGGTATGGGATGATAGTGAAATAAGAGGAACGTCTGAATTGTCTCCTGGGCTGTGAGGCCGAGCCTCTCTGCCTCTATGTTAGGGAGCCAGTTAAGGCTCCCCCTCTCTGTCTCCCCAGCTGTGTTTGCCCTTACCCAAGAAAGAAGCTAAAACTGTTACCCAAGGAGAGCCATGGGGACCTTTCCACTGAGCAACCCTTCAGACCCATTCTAATACACACCCCAGCTTTGTTGGGCTTTGCTCATTTAGACCTTCTGAACGCTGGCTATGAACTGTATCTTGTCTTGGGAGGTTGGGGAATGACCCACGAGGGAGCTGTATGAGACCCATCAGCATCATTCACTTGTTCCCTGTGAATCTTGACCCCGTCACATTGGCCTCCCTCCCTCTAACCCCACTGCGGTTGGACCATGGATTTCTGGAATACTAGCTGTCCACAGTGTAGAAAGACAGCATATGTAAGCTTCTCTTCTCCCCTCTCCTCTCTCCCCCCTTTGCTCTCTGTTCTAGGGTGGGGGTCATCTTGTCTCTAAGGATTGTGTACTCCAGGGGGGTTTTAAATGACCCATTGGAGAGAAATGCAGTCCAGTTGTTACAGCAGAGGGAGCTTCACCATCTGAGCTGGGGGGTCAGGTTGGAGTGTTTTCAGTGGTCCTGGCAATGGAACAGAGGCCCTCTTTTTTTGTCTCCATATTCCTCCCCCCTTCCCCTTTCCCCCAAGAAAAAAAGTAAATGTGCAAAACCCAGCCTGACTCTGTAGGATGTGTAGGTATTCTGCCAATAGCAGCCTGTATGAGGGAGTCAAGTCTGGCCGTAAACTTTAGCATCTTGCCAGGTTATTTTGAGTTTAATTTTTCTAAGTTCATCTAAAGTTTTGTCTTTCTCTTGTTTTGAGGGTTTGGCTCTCTTTTCTTGCGGGGTTAGATGCCTTCCACTCCCCCCAGGGGGCGTTAGCACACCCAGCTACTGGGCATGGCTCTATGGCAGTGCCTGAGTGGCTGTTGGTAGTGATGGGGGTAGGTGGGGGTGTCACTGAGCCCCCAGGCCTCTGATCAAGGGGAGGTTCCTCCCCATTAGCACACTGGTCCTGCCATCTGGGTGCTGCCTCTGCTCTCCAAGGGATGTGCTCCCCTGCTGCGGATGATTTGCTTTATGGGTTATTTTAAAAAAAAAAATTTAAAGAAAAAAATTGAGAGAGGGAAGGGGAAAAAGCAGAATTTGGAAAATACTGTCCCAGTGTAAAGGTGGAGCCGTCCCACCGCCTTGGTCCCTGCCCCTCGGCCCCCTGAGAGGACCTGGCTGGAGCCTGGTTGCTGTTTTCGTTAAAAATAAAGACGAAGCAGAAAGCTTCCTGTTAGAGGACAACTGATCGATTAACCATTGGATCAAAGCTGGGGAGGCCCTCAGAGGCCATCTAGTCCACACCCCACATTTTACGGAGGAAGAAACTAAGGCCCAGAGGGTGAAGGATTGGCCACACAGCCAGTAAGGCCACCGTGCAGAAGAATAGCATCAGAGAAGTCTCCGTGTGGGCTGGGGACTCAGTTCCTTCCAAAAGCTCTGTGGTGGCCTTGGTGTGGGAGCAGGGTCATTATAGAAAGATCATCCCGTGACATCCCACCTTTGGGGCATGGCCCGCTCTGAACCAGTCCTCAGCAGGCACCACCCGGGACCGGGCCTGGGCTTGAGGGCTTTCCAGTCTGGCCCCACCTGCCAGGGCTGGAGTTGTGTGGCAGGACCTTCTAGAGCCGGGGCTCACCTCCACGACAGGAGGAGGCCTCAGTGGGACTGTGGTGTGTGCAGCCAGCCTGTGGCTCTAATCATGTGAAAGACTAGCACGAAGAAGCAAAGTGCCGTTAAGGCAGCCGTGTAAACGCTGTAAGAGCCGTTAGGAAAGGACAAATATTTTTTCAGCTGTTTGTTTTCAAAAGAGTAGAAAACCTTTGAATGTGTAAAACGAGGCACAGAAATGTATCATTAACACTGTCTCACTTTCTGATTTGGAGAAACCAAGATGAGGGAAGGTCCCTAAACCATGACCCCATTTCAGAAACTTTTTAAGATTCCTTAAGTCTTCTATGTTCCACACAGGGATCACAGGCATTTTAAGGATGAGCCCCACCCCCTCTCAAAAGATTGAGATGTGGGGAGGCTTTGGGGCTCCCGCTGGGTGTCCTGCTCCCACCGACTTTCCCTGAGTCAGGGCAAAGGTGATTGGGTAACAAGAACCAGCTGTGCAGGGACTGGACGAAGTCTGCTCTGAATCGAGTTAAAGGCCAAGGCTGAATGTTTGGAGGCTGTGCCAGCTGACCTCATGGCTCCGTGCATCAGCTGGGGGAGGTCTGTCCCCTGGGGATCTGTAGCCAACACCCTCCCCCGCCCCCCCCCCCCCCCCCCCCGCCCCACTGGCCCACTGGGTAGGATATAGCTGTGTAGCCCCTTTTAACATTTTAGAAATTTGTATCTCTTTTCTCTTTCTCTGTCTCTGTAGAAAGTTAAAAAATGGGAAAGACTGGCTGGTTTTGGTACTATGAGGTTTAGATTGTAAAGAGGATGTCAGTCATTAAATTCAGGATAAAATATTTCAGAATTACCAAAGCAATGTGTAAATAGTTGATAGACCCTAGGAGGACTCAGAGTTTATGTAGATGCTCAGGAGTCCTACAAGCGGGAAGCTGGGGGGCGGGGGGGGGGGAGAAGAGAGAGAGAGAGAAAGAGAAACTTCTTTTAACATTGGGCATGCTTCCAGATCTTCTATTAATAAATACTGATGGATTTTCCTGAGAAAAGAGAAGACATGTTATCTCTTCAGTGTGGCTGGGAGATTCTCAGCCCGACATGGAGGGCTGCGGCTGGGTTTGAGGTTGGAGCCCGTGGGACATCTGCTTCAGCCATTCAGAGTGGCCGCTGAGGTGATGGGGAAGGGAAGCCAGGAGGGAAAGAATCGGACTGTTTCTGACAGAGGTGATGAACCCTTCAAAGGGTTTAAAAATTAGGCTGAGGCTGTTTACACCCAAGTGATGGGATTTTTCTTTCCCGTTCAGATCATGCGCAAGTTCCGGCTGAACGCTGAAGGGAGACTGGAGCAGACGGTCTCCATGGCAACCACCACCCAGCCAATGACTCAACATCTTCACATCACCTACAAGAAAGTGACACCTTAAGGGGGCAGAGCACGGAGGATGACTGAATGTGGTGGCTTCAGCTCGGGTGGGGCAGCTCAGGAAAGTGATGCGGGAAAGACTCCTGCTCCAGAAGGGGGGTCGTGAAACTGTCCCAGGACCCCAAAATGGCACAGAGAAACCAAATAAAACCCCTTTATTTTTATGGCTGTGGTTTTGAACGTCCTCTTGTGTCCTTTGTAAGTTTGTTTCGTGCGAGGGGGAAGGGGACCTTTCACGACTCTGACATCATTAGGCAAATTCATTTGGTGAAATCTAAAATTCTGGTGAACCTAGAACAAAATCGTTAGTAATCATTAGCAATTCTGCAACCGAGCGGAGAGTGCCTTACTGACCGTGGGCATGCAATAAATTTATATGAATTTGAGAAGAAACATGAAGAATTCTAACATTGTAATGGAAGCTTCTTGGGGGCAGGCACGATTGCATTCCCTTTGTACTTGAATCCCATCGCCTGGCCCAGCATCTGGCTTAATAAATGCTTCCTTGTTGATTAATAAGATGTACTTCTTACTTTGGCTTAAGGAGAAAACAATGTGGTGTCGAGGGGCAGGGAATTCCAGCAGCTAGAAGGGATCTGTTCACGTGTACTGTAATACAACATTCACCTTGCTGTACTTGAAACGTGCCAAATTCTGGTGAGTCAGAGAAAGTTGGAATAAAAATATATGCTGAGTGGCATCTGAGGCACCTTGGTACCTGCCCCTCCCCCAGACCTCCCAGCCTCCTCTCCATTCTCAGCTTTTATTTTCACTGACCTCCACCCCTACTTTGGATTTCTTTCTTTTCAATCATCAATCAGTGGACAAGCAATTTAAAAAATTAATTAGTGGCCTTTGTTTTCTATCGCCAAAATTTCCCGAGTCCTTCCCCCTCATTAAAAAGCCATCCCTTATAACAAAAGAAAAAAAAATTAAAAGAAGAAATCAGTTTCAACAAAACTGATCAATGATTTTTTTAAACTGCCATTCTTTGCAGTGTTCCACACCTGTGGACCTTCCACTTTGGCCAAGGAGGAAGTGGGGGGAGGGGAGGATGTCTTTATAATCCCTCCTTTGGCACCAAACTTCAGCTGCATTTATTAAGCATCCACGTATGCCAGGCTGGCATTGCTGGCACCGAGCTTGGCACACAGTCCTGTGCTTAGCCCAGATCCCAACACACAGCAAACACTTCAAGAAATGCTCCCTGACAAACTACTGGATGTTGGGGGATTTTGAGACAAGAAGGCAAAGTCCTCGTCCTTGAAGACTTGAATTGTACTATCAGCTTCTTCCCTTTGCCTTCTCACCAGTCCATGCCAACACCAACATGTGTGGTCACTACATTGCCTTACCAGTGATACTCTGAGCTAAAAAGGCTATTGGCACAGGGAGACACATGTCTGGAAGAGTTAAGAAGAAAGAAGAGAATTCCAAGGGAAGCCAGATCACCCAGTGAAAAGGGCTCAGGCTTTGGAGTAAGAGGCCCTGGGTTTGAATCCCAGCCCTACCTTAGGCTTCTAGGCCTCCCTCGCTTCATATGTCAAATGGGGCTGCGGGGGGAGGAGGATCTAGACCAGAGGAGTCAAACTCGAGGGCCCGGAGGCCCGCAGCACTCCCGACTGGTCCAAACCAGATGAAAGTGTGGTTCACATCTGATTTTAGTGTTGTAATATATTAAAAAAGAGAGGGATATAAGCTTGTGTGGCTTTCTAAGTCAATATGCTGCCTTCAGGGATCCTTATGTCTGACTTCTATCTGAGTCTGACGCTCCTGGACTGAACAACCCCCAAGGGCATCCCAGCTCTGAGCCGACTATCTAATAATTTTAGGAAATGCCCATCTCAGTGAAGAGATGAGATGGAATTCTTAGACAAAATTGTTCAATGAACTCCAAGGTACAGGGTCCCCCAAAGGTTAAGATTTTTTTTCTTTTTTTTTCCCCCTTTTTTAGGCAATTGGGGTTAAGTGACTTGCCCAGGGTCACACAACTAGTGTCAAGTGTTCAAAGGTTAAGATTTAATAGCTCAAAACTGAACTGAGTCCTTTGGGAAACCCTCTGTTTACAATCCAGAAGTAGCAATAATTGAGTAACAAAGGGGACAGTGGGCATTTGATAAATTCTAAAAACTGAAAGGTGAAACAATAAGAAATAGAGCATGTCTATACTGGAGGGAGGATGTATGGAGGCCTTTGAAGCACAACTGAAGATTTAGGATAGGAGATACATTTGTCTGGCATTATATTAGGAAATAAAAGTGAGATCAATGAAAAATGACCTTGAAAACAGCATTGGAGCCAGATTAGCAGAGAACTAAGAGGAAAGTGGATTTCAGTAATCAGTACAAACTACTAGGAATATAGCCTGGCTATTTAAAAATATAGGCCTGAATTTTTTTAAAAAGTGATCCAGGGCACAGGTGTGATAAGAGGATGCCCAAGTGATAACTTTTTCATTATTATTTTTTAATATTTGCATAGTCCTTTTTTTGAGACCCAATGATGCCTAATAAAGTAAAAGAAGGAATTATTGGGAATCGGGATGATATGGTGGGGAAAAGATTCGTTTGACATCCAGAAGACATGGGTTCAGACCCTGCCTGGAATGCTAACTGTGTGGACAATTTACAAGTCTCTCTGAGCCTTAGTTTCCTCATCTGTTAAATGGGGATGATAATACCTTGTACACCAACAAAACTTTTTGTTTGTGGGATAATGTGTGTGAAGTTCTGAGAGCATAACAGAAATGTAAGCATTAGGAAGAAAACTGGAACTGACAACATTAGAGTTTCAGTGGGAAACAAAAATGGCCTAGTCATCTCAAAACATCTACCACATGGCTTTTATGTTACTTCCAGTTTCTGCAGGGGAAGGAGCAGAAAAGAGAAGGGCTTGGGCTGAAGAAGGAGAATGAAATTGTGAAGGTAGTCTGGAGGAGGTTGGATTTGTGAAAGAGACTAGAGATTGAGTTTGGGTTGGAGAAATTTGGAAGCAATTGACATTTTGAGGGGGAATCATCTCCAGATCCAGAGTCTACTTCCATGAAAGTTGCATGATGAGGGGCAGGATTGAAGAGTAAGGACAAGAAGAAAAATTCTAAAAGAGAATGTAGTGGGCAAGGAAAGGTGAGTGAGAGAAGGTCAGCAACATGACTTGTAAGGGTAGATTGGTAAGCAAAACAAGCTGGTGGAATAATAAGAGATTGGAATTAAAGATAAAGGAAGACGGTATGTAGTTGTAAAGTGGTTGAAAGGAAGGGAGAGAACTTGGTTGTAACCATCCAATTAAGTGGTGTTTGAGAGGTGGGAGGCAAGCTTTTCTACTGCTGCAAGCTGTGCCCTGGCCTCCCTCTCCTGGACAAGGCTGGCTGTACCCGTCCTCAGTGTTTGCCTAGAGGTATTTAGAGCAGTTGTGGTGATCTCTCCTCTATCCCCCTGCCAACCACTGGTGACCAGCTGCCCGGTGCTGTTTAAATATTTGCCATCCATCAGCCAAATAGCAAAGAGGTAATTACTTTGAAGATAGAGTATGAAGAGTACCACCATTTTGTCCTGACATCCCAGAGATAACAGCCTTCCCTTTCCCACCTCAGTCTCTGGGAAGAGAAGTTGAGAACTTTACCCTGGTCCCACTCAGTTCACATCCAAGACTGCCTCTATTCACTGTCTCAGCCACCCAAAGGTCACTCCCTGTTCCTCAGGATGTTGATGTTAGTTTGGCTGCAAAACCCATCATGGAGGGGCAGCTAGGTGGCACAGTGGATAGATCAGGAGGACCTGAGTTCAAATCTGACATCAGACATGTAACACTCACTAGCTGTGGCTCTTGGCAAGTCACTTAACCCCAATTGCCTCACTTAAAAAAAAAAAAAACCATCGTGGACTCAAGAGTCCTGGAATCTCAGACACTGGAGGGCTGCTGGGCTCCCTCCCAGAGGCCCTTTGAAAGGTTAGGTCAGAGCCTCCAGATTAATTTCCTCCTAAAACAAAGAATAAATGAGGAGATGAAGTAGGCCTGAGGCCCTTCAATGAAGCCAAAAGTCAGCCTTAGAGGAGAGAAGTCCCAAGGCCTCTCCAATGGTACCATCGTCCCTCATCAGACGTGTCACGGAGGGAGTCAAGAGCAGAGATTCCCCAAGAGAGCAGCTGAAGAGAAGCAGTGAATAGCCTCATCACAAAAGCCTTTGGAGGGTGTCCCTAGTTCTGGCACTGTCGAAGCACCCCCTCCCCTACCCTGTGGGACCTGGGGTTGGCAGTGGGGTCAGGACAAACAGCATCGGCACTCTGAGCATGGGCCAGTCCCATTCCATGATCGCCATGTTTGGGAAAACAAGATTGCCATTTTTGGCCAATTATCAGGGGTGTTTTCAACACATTGGCCTACAGTGATAATCTTCAGAGGATTTGGAGCTTGGAGTCACACCACTGGGGATGGGGGGATAAGTAGAGGCAGGATTTGAACCAGAGATCTTGTTCATTTAAAACCCGCGAAAGAGTTAAAGCCCTTTTTCCCTTACTACACCTAGGAGTGGATCCCATGAATGTGGGTCTCCTGGAGTATGGGGGCAATAGCTAGAGCCCCTCCTCCACCCAATAGGATGCAGAGGGGCTGTTCTTGGGGACCTGGATTTCCCCGGAGGCTCAGAGGCAGATAAGAGGCAGGAAGTGGGGGAGATGAGGCTGCCTGGGATGGAGCAGAAAGTCCTCTACTTATCCGTTTCAGAATGCAGACTTTTTCTTCTTCGTTTGGCCTTTATTGTTCGAGGAAATGAAAGAGAATGAAAAACACAAATGAGAGGTGGGCCTTTTATGAAGTCCAGGTGCGGGGTCAGGATCTCTCCCTCTTCCCCCAGATCAATGAGAAGGTGAACGGCCCAGAGATGAGCGTCCATGAAGGGCTGTAGTCCGGGCTCCTCCCTGTCGTGACACACAGCTTTGAGTTGTTTTGGGAGCAGTATCATTGTTCCCTGGTTTGAATTTCACCACGTTTTTGAGAAAGACGTCTCTGGCACTGACATCAAACATTCCACTTGGTAGAAGCGGCAGTTCTAATCTGTGGCAGCTAGGCACTTCTTAGTAAACAGTAGGAGCTTTGCAGAAGCAAGTTTGGGTCTGGCACTGGAGAGCAGGCTTCCCTTGGACTGCCTGCTTGCTGCCTGCTAAATTCTCATTAAGTTACCATTTA